AGTATGCCTGTGTATTCATTAATAAATTCATACTCTGAGTTTTCAATAAAAGAAGAAAATGCAGTGTAAACTGGAGTTACTTAGTGACACCCAGCTCATTGCTTTTTATTGTTGCTTGCAGCTACGAAGCCTTCACAGTGCACTAGTAGAATTTATTACTGTCTGTCTCTGTGGCAAGTTGGCGAAGTGTGCCTTTTGAAGAAAATTGACCCACACTTCATGAATATGATGAAAAATGCCAATAACACTACAAAGACGAAGCTCTTGACATTACTCTGCAAAGAGCTAAAAGACAGTAATGAAAGTATTGCAATTACAAATCATTACCTCCTCTCCAGCCAATCGCCAGCTTCCCTACTCTTTCTTTTGGACCATTCTCAGGCTCTGCTGGCTGCCCCAGGTGCTGTTTTGCACAGCATCATGGGAAATGGTGGATGTGTGAAGGCTCCAGTTGATTTCTCAAAGAGGGGAGAAAGAAGCGAGAGGCAAAGAACAGAGGGTGGGAAGGGTGGCTATGATAAAAGTGCCCCTGGAAAAGGCGAAAAATGAGAGCTTTTAAAGCCAGGGATCAGAGATCATGACCTTTCTGGGTGACCTCTTCCATCTACAGAGTGGATTTAAGAACTTCCCACTTTGCTAAAACTGTCTTCATTGGCTGGGTTCCTTTCAGTCTGATGTAAGGGAGAGTACTTTTTCTCTTTCATTATTTGTTAAAAATCCAACTCAGACTTTAGCACATACATTTGCAAAAAATACATTAATGTATTTGCAGCATGAGAGGCTCGTCTAATTTCTCGTCCTAAAAATGGTGCTGAAAAAGACAAAACAAGTAGTGAGACTAAGTTTAAATGGTAACTTTAGAATCACTGCGTATCTCAGTGATGATGGCCTTTGTCCTTACAGTTTTGACAATTTTCTGACACATGCTTTCTATTGCTCGTTGATCTTTAGAGTCCTGGTTTGCTTTATTTTTATTTATTTGTATATAGACAGAGTATATGAATAGTTGCATTTCCCGATTTACAAATATGCTTAATCTTAAAGGAGAATTGGTGGCCTGTCTTACTTAGAAGGACAGACTTATTTTCTACTTCTTCTGTAATACAGGCTATTAAAAATCTTGGAAATTTATAGAGTGTATGAGGTCAGAAGTAGAATCAGGGAAGAATTTATAAAGAAAAGAAAATGACAGCTTCTGGGACCTGCCTGGGGGAGAGGAGCCTCAGATCAAGGAGAGATACAGTGACATAGTTAGTTGACTTTAAGGTGGCCCTCCTGCTTCCAGATCCTCTCCTCTATTTCCTGCTGAAATGTTCTAGCTCCATAATGCTCTACTAACTGGAGAATCAGTATGATTCCACAATATCCCATTAAAAAAGCAAATTTCCTTAGGAAGGACAGGAAACTATTAATCATTTGACATAATCAGAAATTGCTACATCAGATTTTTTTTTCCTTCTAAACTCCAGCTGTAGGTCCAGGTGACACAGGACATTTTGTACCTTCATGGAGTTTCATACACTCAGAGAGAAGGGGAAAATAAGTCTACACGGACCTGGCCACTGTTGGATTTTGAAGACCTCAGAGGTATTGAGTTTTGAAAAGAAGAGCAACAGATGGCACAGATATATCTGGGAGAAAGGTACAACTGGGGTCAGTATCACTTATGTGACCCAGTGCTAGGCCTTTGGCCACAACATGGGAAGAGCTTTCTTCCTCCTCTTCGCCCACCTTTCTCTGTATTGCATGTTCTCTTATTATTTTATACTTTCTCTGAGATAGAATTTGGGTTAGTTGTAACATTGTCATGAATCAGCTTTTGAGGGTAGGCACAGGGATCAAAATCACTGAAAAAATTCTTGGTGTCTACGCCAGTTGCATTACAGTCTCCCCCTCCAAAACCTTTTCATTGCTAACCATGCTTTAGGCACAGGATGGGTACTGAGACCTATGGGGCTCACTGGTTACAGGTGGTTAAGGAGTGACCATATTCCAGGTACCAATGAAAATGAGGAGCAGCCAGGGCCATTTGATCCATTTTCCTTCCTTCAGGCAAGAAAATGCACATCAACAGCACTGAACTTGTATAGGTTTTATTTCATCTTTTTAATAATCTCTTACACTTACTAACTCATTTGCTTATTGTATTAGGGTTCTCTAGAGGAGCAGGATCAATAGAAAATATATGTACAGTTATGCAAGCAGATTTATTAGGTACACTTATAGGCTCTGAGGTGGAAAAATCCACAATGACCATCTGTGGGAGTAGAGGCAGAAGAATCCATAGTGACACTTTGTATTCTGGATAGACAGAAATCCAGTAGCTGTTAAGCCCAACAAGATAGAAACTGCAGAACAATAGGGATCAAGGCTGCAGCACCGGTGCAGAGGTGAAGCCCTGGAAACACACTGTAGAGTTGCTAGTGAGAATCTTCTTTGGAATGCTGGATACCCATGTCCAAAGACTGGAGCTCCTCCCAATGGCAAAGACTGGAGCTCCTCCCAAACAGGAACACTTCAATAAAACCCTTTTTATTTTGTCCAGGCTACAAGCCCACTGGTTGTTACCACCCATATATGGTGTGGGTCTTTCCTCAGTTTGCTGGCCTACATGCCAATCATGTGCTTTATTAATCTTCTAGGTGTTTTATTTTTTAATCCATTCAAATTGACATATCATGATTTATGGTCACATTTGTGACAAGAACATCCAGGTTCAACACCCTTGTTTCTGTACCACATTGTCAGTAAAAATCCATTTCAGGACTGATGGTAGCTGGCATATTCATCATCACACTTCCAAACCATCTTCATGGCATCACAACCAATAGGGTAAACAGTCATCTTCCATTAAATCTCAAAATCTCATACTGTATTCCAGGGAGCTCCTATTCATGCATCAAAGTTGGCATGTGAGAGTGGACTAACTTGTCTTTCTTGGGCTTCACCAGTTAATTAAATCTCAGCCTCCCTGGAAAAAACACTCTCTTTAAGGAGTGGTGAGTGGCTGGTACATCTTCTAAAGGGGAAATCCAATCTCTGAATCATCAAACTAACTAAATGAGGTACCTGTTTTCCAGTCAACCATTCTTTCATTCTACACGAACACTGCAAGTGCCTAGTGTTTGCCATATTGCTTCTAGGCCATGTGAATACATGAGGGACTCTCTCTAAAGCTCGAATATCAAGCAGAACCAGGAACTAAACTGCCCAATACACAGCTGGATACTGGTCTGCCTACCAAAGAGTGAGGCCATTCTCTGCAGAAAGCAGCATAGTAGAAGCAAATAAATGCTAACAGTAAACCTCCTGACTAAACCTAGATTAGTATTACATGAAAGCTTTGTTTCACATTGAAAAGATTTACAATAAGCTATTACTTAGAAAAAGACAAGTGAATGTAAGAGTAACAAGTATTAAGCAGTGAGTCTAAGAGTCATGCATAAATAGGAATATGATATAAACTGTGTATTTACATTCATACCACCATGTCCAGCCATCAAAAGTTTTTGCTTTTCTACCTTCCGTGAAGGGGGAAGAAGAGAGAACATGCTAAATTTCCTCTCTTGATGAGAGTTACGCACATGGAGCCAAATGGGGTGCTTGAGAGAGTGGACCATTCATTTATCATTGGGTCTAGTCCAGGGCTTGACACACAATTGATGTTCAATTCATGATTGAATCAAATTGTTCAGGGACTCAAAGGAAATGGATTGATTTTTAGGTCTAATCCACTTGCTCTCAAAACATCCAGCATAGGCCATAGCAAAAGGCACATATGCAGTGGAAGTGTGAGAGATGCAACTGAATTTGATGTGACACCAGAGAACCTTTGATATGGAAAGACAAAGACAGATCACTATATATTATGGACCCAAGTACTCAGCATATGTTGACAGATGCTCATAAATATAGACTTCTTTCATGCTGTAGTGACTTGGTCTACGAATTGTAGTAACACCTGGTTAGGCTGCTGCAACAAAACATTCCAATCTTTCAGTGGTTAAAATGTTTAAACACTCCAGATATTTTGCAGTGGTTAAACACTCCAGATATTTCAGTGGTTAAACACTCCACATATTTATTTCTTAATCATAAAACAATCTTCTATGAATATTGCTGGTTTTCAGAAAGCTTTCCTTCATATGGGATTAGACTTCTATCTTATGGTCTTCCATCCATTGTGGCCTGGTAGTCCTCTGTTATCTACCAGCAGAGAGGAAAGTATTTTGAAAATACCAGACTAACCTGCTCACATTCCACCACTTAGAACCCCTTCACATCCCATTTGATAAAGTTGTAAATTTAGGGTAGGATTAGGCATCAGCTTCCCAGTAAAAGCCACGCACTGTGGAAGCAGAGGAGGAAATTTTGGTAGACAGTTAAAAGTTTCACACACTGAGGTAAGCAGGGCTCAAGTGGTGGTTAGCAGTGGTGGATTCAAGTGTAATGTCCAAACAGAGCTTCCCTAGTCTCTGAGCAGATTGAACTTCACATTAATTATCCTCTTGGCTTGTTCTTCCTACTGTTCTTCACTCAAAGCTCAGAAATTTGGAGCAGGGGCTGGGGGTTTAGCTCAGCGGCAAAAGCGCCTGCCTGGCAAGCGCAAGGTCGTGAGTTCAGTTCCCGGTAACGGAAAAAAACCAAAAAAACCCCCCCCCAAAAAAGAAAAGAAATTTGGAGCAGTAATAACACATCCGTGTTAAGGAAAGCAGTGAGCGGATGTTGAGCCTGTGGCTTCATCAAGGAAGAAAATAAATAAAGAAATGATAGGATTTAGGATTTTTCCAGGTTTCATGCAGAATAAAAGTCAAAAAGAGTATTTGTCCTCATGGAGTGGATGAAGATAACCTTGAGAAGGTATTCTGCCCAGGCCCGTTAGACAGGTCTCTTGCTAAAGTCACAGGGACTGTTCCAAGGGACACCCTGACACTGCCATGCTGTCTTCGCACAGCTCCACTTAAAGAACACGTGAGTGCACCTCTCGCTGTCTGTCTTACCTGGGGGCAGCACTGAATAGCGTCCTGCCTGCGTTACCTGTCCTAGCCGCATTGCTCCCCACTTCTGGGTGCTAAGGATTCATCCTGGAGGAAAACAGTAACAAACTCTGTGAGAACTGGGATCAGTGGGTTCTGGTTTGACAAGCACCTGCATATAGCAGGAACAACACTGGGGTAGAAGACCACCAGCCAGTGTATCCTACACACCAGGGCTCATTTCGGGTAAAACAGTCCTGTCCACCCTTCCTCATAGTCTTTTTGTCAGCTTGATCTGTATTAACATCATTGTTCAAAGCCTATGGAGACAGTTTGATCCTAGCTTTGGGGTGCCTTCACGGGTTCATTAACTTTACACACTTCTTGAACTTGGATTTGTCATAAATGTTCTGGTTGGTTTCCACTAAGGCTGGCCACATTTTTATGAGTGGGCCAAGGAGGCTAACTGGCTTTCTAAGGGTGGGAGTGGGCCTTGAGCTCAGGGAGAGACCTGTTTTATTGTGTTACAAGCACCACACTTCTTGGTGGAAACAGAAAACCAGATTATTGAAAGAATGTAGAGACTTGCTGGCAGTCCTGGGTCAAGGTAAGTCAGTAGTTATATATTTTTTTTCTATTTGAATTACACTAGGGAGAGGCTGGCCTCAGGTGTTTAGAAAGCAGCAATCACTCTCTGTACTTGGCCATAGAAATTTGAATGAGGTTGTATACATGGATTCTAATATTCAGGCCATTTTCTTGCTTTGTAAGTAATGCAGTTTTCCCCTGAAGTTTTGCATTTGCTCTCAACTAGACGGCCAAGAGGCCTTGGCTAACGCCTTTTAATATCTAAGCCTTCTACATGTAGTGCTTGGTTAATAATAGGAAAAAAGCTCGAGTGACTCACCTTGACCTCAGGAGGAAAAAACCATTCTTTTAATAATTCTGGGAGTTTATTTGGATCGAAGGCATGCTGCATGTTACACAATCTTCTTGTAGAGGTGCACAGGTCACACAGCAGAACCCTCATTTTTTATGAAGTCAGCAAAGATGTATAGGGGCCAGGCTCACAGCTTCTCTGAGAACCTTCAAATTCATCTTTAATATGTAACCCATGAGTGGAAAGAAACCCTCAGTTTAATGGACTTTTCTCTGAGAACTTTTCTAAATATCTAGCCCTTGTGACAATTAAAGTTAAAGGTTCATTTTCTGAATGTCCTCAGAAAAGGGTACCTATTTTGGAGGAGTCTAGTCACTAATTCCCCTGTTTTGTCACTTTAAGTTTTCTCCCTCACACTAAACTGCAAACTGCTTGAGGGTAGGGAGAGTCTATTGATCAGCACAGGGTACATAAGGTTCTTTGAATAAAAGAATAGATGAAGATGAACCATTCACTGAAGATTCTCAACCAGGAGCAGTTCTTCCTCCAGGAGCCATCAAGTGGTGGTGAATATATGGCATATGGGTTATCCATTTTCTTTTTAAGACAAAAGATATTAATGTATGATTTTTTTTTTCTGAACTCAAACCTCAATATTCAGGTTTAATTGCAGTGTTGGCACTTTATGATAAATAAGGGCGTCTGGGGTTGCAGTTTGGGCCCTCGGTCTCTCACAGGTTCACTATCACTGGATTAGGCAACATCTGCAAACATTCTGGATGCACAAATGGGAGGGAGTCACCAATTCTACCGGCATCTAAGAGTAGAGCCGGGGGATGTTGCTACCATCTGACAGTGCACAAGACAGGCCCTCAGAGCAAAGAGGCGTCTGGCTCACTGTTCACAGTGTTGAGGTTGAGAAACTGCCATCCCCGTCCCCATGCATTCAGAATTTCTGGAAGGTAGCTGTTTGGAAGATTCATTTAGCAATCACTTATGAAATGCCTTTCATGTTGAAATTCAACCTAGGCATCACCCAGGAAATACCTTGAAATTTTCTCACCCTTTCTGGTCCTCATTTCACCTTTCATCATCTTTTTTTTTTTGCAATACCCATGGGATGGGTAGGGGGAGTGACAGCATACTGCAGGAGGGACTATCTGGAGTGAAAATCACAGAACTTTATAGTTACTAACTTAATCATAGCGGTGTCTTTCTGGCCCATTCCTTCTGAGGAGAAATATGTTCATGCTGCAAGAGCTGCCTTGCACAGCTTGGAAAGCCCTTTGGAGATGGCATTGAAGGTAAAAAAGCACAGGCACAGGATGTTTACTCTAATGATGCACTTGAAAGCATTTGGGATTTTTAAACATATGCTCCCAGCCGCTCTCTCTATCTCCACGTTGCTGCTAAATTGTAGAAAAGCTGTAAATAGAAATAATGGACTCAGTTTGTTTTTAATTAGAAGGCTGCTGCTTATAGTGCAATCACGACACTACCAAGCATGTCTTTCTTTCATTTGGAAGCAAAGAATGGAGAGTTCCTAGGGTTTTGAACTGGAGCCAGGTTCCCCGAGTCTGTTGGTCTCTGAGCCCCTGCAATTCCAATGCCTTTCAGTGGCCATCGGATGATTTTCTGTATTGCTTAGTTATGTCTTTGGATGTGGCAGAAATGTTACTGTTTCTACCAAGTTAGACTAAGAAACACTTTGGGATGTTGTTTTATCACTTTTTCATATTTAATTCCTACCACCTATCTCTTAATGCAATGAAATGGTCATATTTAAGTTACTTTTATTGTTCAGAGATAAACTGTAAAGTTTTTTTTTTCTGTTAAACTTTTAGACATGTGGATGGAAGTAAAGTTGTCATATTGCTCACTATCTATCAAATAAACCGTGTTCTGGGACTACACTATTTATCCATAGATAACATTTCTGAGGTTCAGCCCCGACTCCAGCTGTAAGGTAATATGGGTGAGAAGAAAGCCTAGTGTCCTATTATGTACGGGTTTCTTGGATTCTCAGGAATCTTCATGGTTGCTGTCTCTGAACTAAAATGAAGAAAGTGCTAATGTAGGAAGTTCCCAGTGGAACTTCCTGGTAGTGGGAAAGGAGTAACCACATGAAGTTCTACCTCTGGACCTGTTTTCTCTCTAGTGCTGTGACTTAGGAATCACTGTCTTCTCTGGGAAAGACATTGCTCTCTTTCTCTCGCATTGGAATTTTTCCCACTGGTGAACTTCTCCTATTCTGCAGTGGGATGTTAACATTACAGTGTCATGAGAGAAAACTTACTGTTGTACCTTTGTACTCTAGTGAGGATGTCTAAGGAGTTTGATGGGATGTCAGAATCAGCATATTTAGTGATGCCTAGTTAGACTTACATGGATAAGTTGGGAGAAAAACAGGTTTAGAAAGAAGGAAACACTAGGAAGTGTTTCAGAACTGGTTGTCCAACGTGGTAGCTGCTAACTACAAGTAGCTATTGAGCTTTGGGAAAGGGACTAGGTGAGTTGGGATACAGCGTCACAATAAAATACCCTCTGGACTTACTGCAAAAAGACTTGGTATGAAAACACAAAACATCTAATTAATAACATTTTATACAGATTCTGTATTAAATGGCTATATTTTAGCACTATTGCCTTAGATAAATATAAAAATGAATTTTACTTATTTTTTTTTTTCTCCTTAAATGTGATTATCAGAAAATTTCAATTTACATATGTAGCATACATTTCTCATTTGCCTGGTGTCTCTGTTGGACCGTTCTGCTTTAGAGCTGTTCCTAGATCTGTCTAGGAACAGCCTCACCCTCCAGGGTGCATTACCATAGCCTAAAGGTACAACTTTAAATTTGTCATGGCCTGGTTTAGCCCAAACTGTGCTGTAGGCTCAAGTTCTCTGAGTGGTGATTGCTAATATTACATAAAAGCCCCAGGGCAAGGGTTGAGAATCTTGGGGAACTGAACCTTTAAGGTCAGTGAGATGATTTTATTATAGCTCTGAAGACTCTAACATTAAATATAATTTTTTATAGGTGAATTTCACTGCAGAGGAATTTCTTGACTTGCATCAGACTCTTTGAAAGATCCCTGACCAAGGCTTGGAAATGTACTGCTCCAGGGACCACTGACTCTCCACAACTGATCAGAGCTGGTAGCTCCCCAGAACTGGGCATCATGGTGGTACTGCCTTGATTCCAAGCAGTTGGAGAATGTTGACCCTGCCTCTGTGTTCCTGCCTCTCCACTGTTCTGCAATCCCGGATCACTTTCTGTGCCTTCTGAATAAACTTCATGTTCACTATGAAGTCATTTAAGGCTCATTATGTGTGAATATTTGTTTAGTTTCAAATCCATGGATATTTCAGCCACAAAACTCTACTTAATGTTCTCAGTGTCTGACTTCTTTTAAAAATGGAAATACTCTACCATCTTTTCTGAAATTCTTTATCAGCCTTCACCCATCTAAATTAGACTCTGCATTCAACTAAATTATAAAACAGATTAAACTTACAGGATTAATGTATCAAACATGCGAAGAGCTCCAAAATAAGTAAAAGTAATATAAAATACAATGAAAATAAAAACAATTGACAATAATTAAAATTTTGAGGAACACAAAACCATGCCTAGTAAACATGATTGTGTATTCATTAAAACTTTTTATTTAAATTTTAGTGTGTCAGAAAATATTTCATTTTATTTCATTTCATTTTATCTTTCTGACAAGTTTATTGTAATTCTTTCAAATATATCCAGAAGTGGAACAGCTAGATCATATAGTAATTCTGTTTTTAATTTAGTTTTCTCTTTTTTGTTTTTTTTTTAATTTTGAAGAGAATTTAAAAAAACAATAAAAATAATACAGAATTTTAAAACAAGATGATAGGAAATAAACAATGGCTATTATATTGCATTTTGCTATCTTCAAAGTAGTTGCTCAGATTACCAGGTACAGGCATGCAAAATTGATCAAACAGTATAAGCACTACCTGTCCTTTTCAATGAACAAATAGAAATTAGTAGTATAATTATCCTAGCCATCTTATGTATTGATATATATTTTTCCCCTTCATTCTTTTCTCCTTTCCCCATCCCAATTGTTCTTTCCTTTTGAGCAGTTTTTTAGCACAGGCTAATCATTTAATCTCAGAATTTATCCCCACTAATACTTAAATAAATGTAAATAAAAATGATATCCAATTTCATTGCTGGTGCTGGTAGGAAAAAGTGGATATTCTAATACAGAGTTGATGGAGTTGTAAATTGTGCAAAATTTTCAAGAATAACTTGTTACTATCTAATCAAATTCTAAATTCACATACCTGTGACCTAGAGATTACCTTTTAGGAATCTGTCCTACATGCACATCAGGACAAATGTATAAAATATGGACTTAAGGTTTGCATAGTGATAATCTGAGTCAGTAAAATATATTGAAAATTTCATAAGATGATCATTGAAAATTGAATTAAATTGATTAGTTTGTAAAAGGGTACATAAATGTTTTTTAAGGGAAAACATACACAATATAGCATATATTGCTTGATTTTACTTTTTGAAACTAAATATATGTGCATGAATTTATACATACTACTACAAATATTGTATTTATTGAATACCTACTGAGCGCCTGAACATGTTATGTTTTCTCATTCAATTCCTAAAATAAATTTAGAATACGTACATTTACTAATTCTACCTATTAGGAAAATCAGACATAGAAATGTTAAGTAACTAGCCTCAGGTCACACAGTATAGTAAGATTCAACTGGCGCTTATCAGATGTAAGAGTGGGTGGGTGGACAGGGTAAAACATGCCCAGGAAGGATTCACTGCAAGTCTCACCTCCAGGGCTGTGTTATCATCTGAACTTTCTATCAAGCAAAACCTCTTCTGAGGTGGCACCTCTTCTGAGCTGTCATGCCTGGTATCATGCTTGATGCCAAGATGAAGGAGGGGCAATAATGACAAGAGCTGCGTAGTGTGATTTTCTTAGCACAACTTTGAAAAGAAACAAGGCAAGTAATTCCTTATAGACATATCATCTTTGGGTGGAGATGACAAGAAATGGCTTCATAATCAAATCAGAAAAATGAAAC